CAAAATGAACCCCAAGACAGGGACACAAGTGTTTTTTTTTCTTTCTTGCTATTGTTTTTAATGTACTTATAATGTACTATGTGATTTTTTTTGATTTTTTGGTAAGTTCCTCCCCCAAGGTATAACCCCTGTTTTCACTGTATTTGATTCTGGTGCCCTGCATCTTGTATATACACTTTTCTAATTTGGGGAGGGGAAGGGAAAAAACAGATACATTTTTAAAAGAAACTGACTGAGGGGCTGAGGAAGAGCTATCATCCCTATCCCTGGGCATTTAAACTCTTTGCTGGGTTGGTGGCTCAAGTGGCAGAGTACCAACCGAGTAAACAAGCTGAGCAAATACAAGGCTCTGGGTTCAAAAAATAACAAAAACTTTCCTAGCATGTGTCCCTGAGGCTCAGTGATTCTTACAAAGTAGAAATCACCTCCTATAGCCAGGCGTCACGCTGGTGGCTCACGCCTGTCATCCTAGCTACTCAGGAGACTGAGATCTGAGGATCGTGGTTCAAAGCCAGCCCGGGCAGGAAAATCCAAGAGACTCTTATCTCCAATAAATCACCGGAAAACCAGAAAAGGCGTTCTGGCTCAAGGGGTAGAGCTCTCACCTTGAGCTGAAGAGCCCAGGAACAGTGCTCAAGTCCAGAGTTCAAGCCCCATGACCGATTAAAAAAAAAAAGAAAAGAAAAAAAGAAATCACCTCCTATACATAGCAAGCCACTCAGTTTGAAGTAACATTTGAAGTAACATTTGACAAAATCACAAAAAGGATGAAAAGTAAGACTCACTACACACAGGTTTCACTAGAATCCACAAGATTTCCCCATTTTAAATATATACTTTATATTTAAAAAAAAGTCCTGCCCTACTTTGAGCAGGTTGAGATTAATTTGCAATGCTACTTCTAACACTTGAATATAATACATTTTTAAACTAGTCAGAGAGCCAAAATCGGATGAAATCTATGCCTAAGCCTTCAAGCACTAATTCTGTGTAAAACTGGCACCTCTGGAAAGCACATTATATTCCAGAACTAAATTCACAGAGAAAAGTTGCCAGCATTATTAATTTGGAGATCATTGGCCATTAAATCATTCATTTAGCTAAATAAATAATGATCAATTTTCTTTAGGTAGTCCCCATAAAAACCTTGTCATCAACTTTATTTTTTTTTTTTAAAAAAGAGGGCTGGGAAGGTGGGTCAGTGGTAGAGTGCTTGCCTTGCATGCAGGAGGCCCTGGGTTCAATTCCTCAGCACCACATAAGCAGAAAAAGCTGGAAGTGGTGCTGTGGCTCAAAGTGATAGAACGCTAACTTTGAGCTGAAGAGCTGTGGGACAGTGCCCAGGCCCAAAGTTCAGGCCCCATGCCCGACAAAAAAAAAAAAAAGAGTCTAAAAGGCAGATCACTTTTGGAAGTTTAATTTGACATATAGCCTACTTCCAACCTAGTCAGGAATCACATTTGTGACATGATTTTTAATTTCAGTCAGTTAATGTGTGACACTCTTCAATTCTACTGAGTTTCTGGAAGTTATTACAAAATAGTCAAAGATATCTTTTCCAAATATATTAACATTATCCAAAGATAATAATCTCTGTCAATCATTCATTCCACAATTCAAAAGAAAATGTTTCATAAAGAAACTCAAATGTAAACAAAAAGCACGATTATGATTAAAATCTCCCCTGTATTCAAGGTACACAGCATATTAAAGGATATATAATATACCTTTTCTTAACTCTGAAATACTTTCCCATTTAGTAACATTTGAAAATATTCTTCAATAGGCTTAGATTTGTGTCCCTGAAGGATCATTTAAATCTGGGCTTCAAAAAAGATAATTTGGAAAAGCACTGGGGAAGAAAAGAAAAATCCATTTATACTCTTTCACAGACACTACAAAAACTAATATGTATGCTTGAACTCAGATTAAGGAAGGGCACATGCTCAGTTCCTATCTCCTCCTCCTCCACCTCCTCCTCTTCTCAGTGCATCTTCTTTATCCTCTTATTTTGTTGTTATTGTTGTTGTTGCTGCTGTTGCAATAAGAGGGATTAAAGCCCCGGGATTGAAGCATCTTTGACAAGAACTCTATCACTTGAGCTATGCACATAGCCCTTCTGCTTTTGTATTTTGTTTCTAAGCTGGGGGGTCTTAGAAACTTGATCTTCCTGTTTCCACCTCTTGAGTAGCTGAGATGACAGGTGTGTGCCATGCCTGCTTTTCTTCCACTTCTAAATTCCTAGGACAATAACTAGCACACAGGTGGCTCAAGGACCACTCCTCCTTCAATACCTAATGGATGTGAGGTGAGCCAAGGAAGCCCTGATACCTCATCAAGTATATGTATTTCAAGTCATATACCTCTCAAAACAATCTGGCTGATTGCTTCATATTTCAAGTTCACTTTGATGATGTACTTACTATTTGGATACCAACCACAACAAAAATGGTTGAGTACGCCAAGGGGCCTAGGAAAAGTGAAGGGCTAATAATCTCCAAATATGTCATTCTCATGGGCCTTATATAATTAAGTACTTGAAATATGTCTCCAAACTCAGCTCTGGAAAGCATAGAAGACTTAATAACCTGAAGAATAAGTCTGAAATTCTGTAGTCTGTTCCAAGAAATCATCGACTATTTACCTTTAACCACATGCTTCTACTAGTTTTCTTCTTTGTAATGACACATACTCAGATTCACAAACATATACTTAGCCATCTAAATTATAAATTGGTACTGACACATCAAATGTATATTTTTAAGGTTTCATATCCTATGTTTCATATCCTAAATATGTCATGTTTGATATAAGTGCAAGTTCTTTAAGACAATGAAAATAGAGAGAATAAAGAATAATTAAGCAAAGCAAGGCGCCAGTGGCACACCTATAATCCTAGCGACTCAGGAGGCTGAGATCTGAAGATCATGGTTCAAAGCCAGCCCAGGCAAGGAAGTCCATGAGACTCTTTTTTTTTTTGGCGGGGGGGTCCAGTCATGGGGCCTGAACTCTGGGCCTGGGCGCTGTCCCTCAGCTCTTCAGCTCAAGGCTAGCACTGTACCACTTGAGCCACAGTGCCACTTCCGGCTTTTTTCTTATGTGGTGCTGAGGAATCGAACCCAGGGCCTCACGCATGCAAGGCAAGCGCTCTACCACTGAGCCACCTTCCCAGCCCGTCCATGAGACTCTTATCTCCAAAAAACCACCAAAAAACTGGAAGTGGTACTGTAGCTCAAGTGGTAGAGCTCTAGCCTTGAGCTGAAAAGCTGAGGGACAGTGCTCAGGCCCAGAGTTCAAGTCCCACAACCGACAAAAACAAAACAAGAAGAATTAAGCAAAAGAAGAATAGTGTAGTATACCCTTCATATATGCCGGTATCAACTATAAGATATATCATGACTTAATAGCTTTTTGCAGAGAGAAAATAAATATACCCTAACTGTGAAATATACTCTGGTCAAAAAATAATAAGAGGTAGAATAACATGTATCTCAGAAATGAATTAAAAATGGAATACTTTGTAAGAGCTCCAGTATTCTAGAGATACACAGAGGATGGGAAAGTCATATCTATTCTCTTCTCATACACACGCACACACACACACACACACACACACACACACACACACAAAATTGATTAAACAAAATAATCATTTAGAAACAAGTTACAGCACCTAGTTTGAGGGAAAATAGCAATTCTATTCCCATATACATTTTCCTGAATTTTGCTTCACACAGTAATGTGCTGTTAGGTCTGAACAGCCTTATCCTGGCTAATTGGCAGTTAGGAGGTATTCAGTATTATATAGAGCTTGAAGTTGTAGATAATACTTGTAGGAAAACTTTTGTTTTCTTCATCTCCTCAATCACTGATTTGTCTGGAATATAGACCAGAAAACTAGATGTCCAGCGGTCTCTGACTCATAAGTATTTATTAAGAAAGGTAGCATAAAAAAAGAAGTAATTGATAAAAGAAAAATAGAAAAGCCAGGCATAAAGGACTCATGCTTGTACTCTGAGCTACTGAGGAAACAGACATTGGGAGGTCAGGTTGAAGTTCATGGCTAACTCAGGCAAAAAGCAGGACTTGGTCAGGTGCTAGTGGCTCATAGCCATAATCCAAGCTACTCAGGGGGCTGAGATCTGAGGATTGTGACTCAATGCCAGCCTAAGCAGGAAAGTTGGTGAAACTCTTTTCTCCAATTAACCACTACAAAGCTGAAAGTGGAGCTATGCCTTAAGTAGAAGACTACTAGTTTTGAGCAAGAAAGCTCAGGGACAGCACCCTAAATTCAAGCTCCAGGCTGTTACACAATAAATAAATAAGAGTAAGCAAGACTCTGTCTCAACCAATAAAAAAGTTAGTGCAACAGGAAGCATACATTGGAGGATTTACGCTTAAAGGTGAAACCTTATCTGAAAACTATAAAGGGTGGGGAAACGACTAAGGCTGGGTCGAGCGGCCGAATGCCCACCTATAAACCCGAGTATCATCACAAACAAATACAAAAACAGACAAGAAACCTACCCCAGAACGCTGAAGAGAACAAAAGAGACTAAAGAGAGAAAAGGGGGGGAAAAACTGCAAGTGGCAAATTATCTTTGTTAACATACTTTTTTTTTTCAAAAATTCTACAACAAAAGATCAACTACAGGTCTAGATTTGGTAAAGCAAAAAAATATAAAATATTTATTTATTGAGCATGATATAACATTCTATTTATTGAGCATGATATAACATTCAGAATGATATTCACTTTACATAATGAGCAAGTTAAAGACAATTAGCTATCTTTTTAAATCAGCAATAAAGGGTACAAAAAAGAGTAGCTTCTCAAAAAGTAGAGTGAATTATGAATAGATGATTTGAGTGGATGATGATGTCAAGTTAGCCAATTAAAAACTACTGAGGATTTCCTTATATCTCTAACCCTTATTAACTCATCCAGAATTATTGTTGTAATAGGAATTCCACTCTTTTGAGAAACTGTCTTTTCTTACCTTCTGTTGTCGGAAACACTTCTTCAGTTTTAGCCTCTGCCAGTTTTCCAGTTCTCAGTAATACTTCTGCGAAGCTTTCCACAGAGTCATGCTGGTAGGTGTCATAGGTCACATTTGACTAGACAAAGCAGCAGTTTCACCTTTAATTGACTGACTTTTCTTCTAAGAACATGTTCTTAGAAATACAATTGTAGGATTTTATGGTTCCCAGTGACTTGAATAGTAATTTCTCATTATATATTATTATTATTTTATCTAACATTTCCAATAGATTATTATCTCATATGTTGTGATATACACAAAATCAATAAATAGGGCTGGGTAGGTGGCTCAGTGGTAGAGCGCTTGCCTTGCATGCATGAGGCCCTGGGTTCGATTCCTCAGCACCACATAAGCAGAAAAGAAAAAAGCCCGAAGTGACACTGTAACTCAAGTGGTGGAGTGCTAGCCTTGAGCTGAAGAGCTGAGGGACAGCACCTGGGCCAGAGTTCAGGCCCCACGATCGATCAATATATATATATACCAATGGACATGAGTAAAAAACCAAGCCAAAGAAGTATATTTTCAGGACAATCTGAGTTCTGTTTTGTTTTGTTTTTTTGCCAGCTCTGGGCCTTGAACTCAAGGCCTGGGCACTATCCCTGAGCTTCTTTTGCTACAAGCTAGCACTCTACCACTTGAGCCATAGCACCAATTCCAGCTTTGTCTGTTTATGTGATACTGAGGAAAACAAACCCAGGGCTTTGTGTATGCAAGGCAAGAACTCTACCACTGAGCCACCTTCCCAGCCCGAGTTTTATTTTATTTTGTGGCCATCCTAGGTAGGGCTTGAACTCAGGTTCTAGTACTATCCTTGAGCCTTTTTTTTTTTTTTGCTCAAGGCTAGAGACAGTGCTCTACAATTTGAGTCACAGCTCCATGTTCAGCCTTTTGATTAGCTGGAAATTAATCTCATAGATTTTCATGCCTAGGTTGCCTTTGAATCTCGATCCTCAGATCTCAGCCTCCTAAGTAGCTAGTCGGCATGAGCCACAGCACCCAGCTACAATAACATGACAGTCTGATACATCTGCTTAGGCATATTGTCCTTACCTCAGTGACAAAGGGATTTGAGATGACTGATTCATAAAAGGGATGACAGCCTTGTTTTTCTAGATCTTCATTGGCTACAATTCCCTTTCGATAAGCACCACCAAATTCTTGCCCCTAAACAGAACAATAGATTAAAAAAAATAGACCAACAAGGGAGGAAGGAGAGAGAAAAAAGAAGCAACAAGAGAGAGGGAGAAAAGGCTGATTTCAGGAGAGACTGATTGATAGGCTTTCAGTGACCAAAAGCAGGGGTGTCAGAGTGACACCGTACTCAGCAGAGAAGTTGAGAATAATAGCTGTTTTCTACGAGCAGCGCTTCAACCCACCACACACTGCCTGCAGATATTCCTGGTCAGACTGACATCAATGAAGCAATCAGTGTTACACAAATTATGAGTGCACTTTACCATCAGTGCAACCTTCTTAAAACCTTACTTTGACATGTTGTTACCCTCCTCAAAAAGTTTTAGTAGCTCTGAAGAAGGCAACGAACTCATTTGCTCCACTGCTGGCTTTGATCTCTCCTTCCAGAACCAAAACAAAAGTGCTCAGCTGTCCCCAGCTGAACTACTAACACTTTTCCCCAAGTACTTATCTCTGGGAATAAAGCAAAAGCAAACTTTGATACAATCCTTTTCTTTTTCATCTCATTAAATTTTCATTATCATATATAAACAAACCTTACCCAAAGAGTATCAGTATCTCTGGTAAATCCTTCATGGGAGTATATTTTATGTATGAGATAGATGAGAGGCCTAGATGACTTTGGGCCATTTTTGTGCATGTGCCAGTCCTGGGGCTTGAATTCAGGGCCTGGGCACTGTCCCTGAACTTTTATTGCTCAAGGCTAGACCTCTACCACTTAAGCCACAGCATTACTTCTGGCTTTTTTTTTTCCCTCTTGATAGTTAACTTGAAAAAAAGGTCTCATGGACTTTGCTTCTGATCTGGCTTTGAACTGAAATCTTCACATATCAGCCTCCTGAGTGGCAAGGATTGCAGACGTGAGCCACCGATGCCCAGTCTAGATGCTGTTTTATTAATCAAAGATTCAATGGTGAAAAGAGATGAAAAGTGGTGGTAATGAGCTGATTCTGTGAAGAAGGACGCCTTGCTTACCTGGAGGGGCCGGAGGTAAGCCAAAGACGTCTTCCACCACTGCCCGTCACTGACAGCCTGCAGCACGGCCTTGGTGGTGGTCGTAGTGTTGGAAAGGACTTTCATGGTAGTGGCAGTGGTCCAGTGTAATAGATCAGCTGAATTATTGCCCAGAGCACTCACTTCATCCTGTATTGAAAAAGAAAAAATGAACAGAGCAAAAGGATGCATTAATAAGAACAGAGCAGACAGGGATAGTGTGACTGCCCTGAAGATAGAGAAACTTAAAAATTAATCTTGACTAGTAACAAAATTAATGTGAAACTAAGCACCAGTAGCATACTGTTTCTCCTTAAGCCACTTAAAAAAGAAAATGTAAGATAGAAAAAGAATCGTAGAATATTGTAATAGTAATAACAGAAATATTTATGAGGAAAGTGATGTGTTCTTTGTATTATATAATCTAATAATTCATGCTTGTTTCTTAACACACAAATTTTAACATTATTATTTATGCTAATTAAGAAATATTATTCATTTAAACAATGCCTCTGTGAGCCTGACAAAAGTAGAATATTCCAATAATCCACATTTCAACACTATTAGAAGACATGATTTTTCATCCAAATAAGTGGATGATTAATAGTACTTAAAAGATATATTATGGGAAATCTCCTGCCAATCTTGAAGGAATAAGCAAAAATCCTAACTCGCTTCTTGAAAGATTCCATGAGGACAATAACCATACACTAATAGTCTTTTAAGAAAAATGGTAAAGACCACATCTACAGATGAAGTATTCTACTAAAACAACTTCTTACTTACAAGGTCTCCCTAGTTCTAAGTATTTTTTAAAGTATTACACATAAATGAAAGAAAAATTAAGGCTTAATCTTTCCATTCCAAATAATCTTCTTGATTTTTTGTTACTATTAGAGCTTAGTTGACAGCTTAGTTTGGCTATTTCATTCAATATAACATTAAGATTCTACACATGTAAAAACAAAAAACAAAAGAAGTATGTGCTCAATAATTACCAGGATATAATCATATTAAAAAGTCCTAAGATTTCTTCAGATCCACTTCATAGTTGCCATTTAGAGTAGGCAGAACTGTGGGTTCCCAGACATATCCTCTTTCTAATCCCCAGATCCTATGAACAGGTTTATTACAAGGCAACAGGACTTTGCAGATAGGATGAAGGATACAGATCTGTTGTGAAGATTATGCTGAAACATCTTAGTTGACTATAGGCTGATCACATGAGCCTTTAAAGCAGAAAACTTCTCTGCTAGAGTCAGAGAGTGGAACAGAGAAGCCACAGAAGAAGGCATGAGTAGACTCAACAAATAGTTGCTGGCCTTAAAGATGGAAGATAGGAACCATAAACCAACTCTTGTAACTAAAAACTACCCTCAGGTGACAGCTAACCTCAGTCCACAACCACAGGGAATTAAATTCTGCCAAAAACATGAGTAAACACAGAAACAAGTTCTACAGAGCCTGCAGGAAAGAACACAGCATTGTTGGTGTCCTGATTTGGTCCTTGTAAGATTCTAAAAAGAGATCAGCCTGGCCTGCCAGATTTCTGTCTTGAGTACTATAAAATTACCAATTACATTGCTTAAAAGCTGTAAAGTTCATTGTAATACTAAATAATATATCCCATTAGCACACTGAAATCAATTATATTCTTACTTCTAAAAAAAAAGCCATACTTAAGCTAAACTAATCAATGTTCATAATTTTTCTATTCACCTGAAGGTTAAGGTTACTCATATATTCTAAATTGTTTTAAAATGCCAGAGTTTCTAATGGTTTCTATGGACATTAAGGAATGCATAAACCATTAATTCAATATTGATCAATGCAATATTCATTATGAAAATAAAACTGAAAAAAATAAGTGATTTATTAAGACAGGACAAATCATGTTAAATTGTGCATGCATCAAACATGTAAAAAGTAATTGTTTGCAATGCAGGTATAAATAAAAACTGGCAGGCTTTACATTGTTTCCCATCCTGCAGATAGGCTCATTCAGATGTATTCTGGACTCTCATAAATTTTCTTTCTGATGCCAGATGTTACAAAACTAAAGAAGACATTCATTAGGGTCCCTTGCATCTAGTGTTCCACACATAATGTTATTTTTTTCTGGTTTTAATTAGCATTTCAGCAATGACTAATGAAGTTTAATGCCTTTCCTGTATTTTTTGGCCATTTGCATACCCTCTATTGAGAAACACATGTTCTATTTACCTATTCTTCTGCTGTTTGTCCATCTTAGTCATTACATGTAGGAACTGGATACTACATTACATGTAGTATTCTGGATACACATTCTTTATTAGGTATGTATTAAGATGTTATCCAACATTCTTTTATCAGTTAATTTATTACATAGATACTTTTCATACATTTTCCATAATGTGATTTTCTTGTGTGTTTGTCTTTCCAACTGCAAAGTGAGCTATCTAAGAACACCTAAAGTACTATCTATTCATTATTATATATCCTTAAAGTATGTTAGAATCTCAGGAGTGTGGAGTTAAAGTAAATGTAAGCAGTCTGGTTTTACTACACTGTTTAAATGTTTGAAACTACGCTATTGAAAGCTTAATGTTGTGTCGAGAGTAGGTAAATGTTATTCAAATAAGATTTCATGTCACATTTTCAATTCCTGTTCATCTTGAAAATCTCCTTAATTGAGAGGGCGTATCGAATGATTTGAATGTCATCAACTAACCTAAGTATAGAACTAAATATATAAACATGGTAGGAAATATGGCACTTATTCAAAATGACTTCATTCACAGGTAAATCAGACAAATGGAAAGGTATCAAAATGCATGACACAGAACCTTATTCTATTTGAAAAATGAGCCTGAGTTTCACTCTGTTCACACAGATGCATTAGCTCCAGATAGGAAATTTAAAGCATATGAAATGTAAAAATTATTCAGAATATAAATAAAATTTATATACTCAGAAATATATGTGATAAAAAGATTTTCTGTAAGGAAAGGATTTCTCTCCTCAGGAGAAGAAAAAAGAAAATAAAATCAAAGGCACATTTGGATCACAGAGTAAGAATTTAATTTGGGGGTGGTCTATCAGGATCAGAGTATAGCCAGACTTGTTAATGAGAAAATAGCTTTCTTTCAACTTCTTATAATGAGGAAGGGAAAAAAAAGAGGTTAGGCAAAATTTACTCCTAAATAATTACTACTGACACTTTTTATAGTCATAGTGGCATACTGCTAATTAATTTAGAGTGTATAATAACAGAAACAGATTAAGCCCAAAACCATATCAACAATTCCCAGCATAAAATTTAACATGAAATCTCATTAATGTCTACCATGCTACAAGGCTTAAAGGTTAACTTACGAAGCACTAATATAATCTTCCAAATCTTACAACAAAAGATACCATTATCAACTGCATTCACAGGAGCAGAATAGTTTCATGTGCTAAGCTCGCTGCATAGAAACAGTTCTTATTAATCAATTACTATAATGAATCTTCTATTTAATCTATTTAAGGAGTTTCGTTCTCTAGAAATATAAGGTTAAATTCAGAGAAGCTTGCTGGCCTCCTATAAACTGAGCTGATGGTGCATACAGACAAACTAAAAGATTATAAACAGTAAACAGAACTCAGGTTAGGATCAATCACCCCTTCTCTTCCAAAATAATCCTTAAATAATCCAAAGTACTGCCCTAAACCTAATACAAACTTACAGCAAATTTCATCATAAACACAGACTATTAAAAATATAATCCTTCTTATAGGTAATGTTACTTTTTTCTTTTTTTCATTTATTGTGAAGGTGATAATCAGGAGGGTTACAGTTACTTAAGTAAAATAATGAGTGCATTTATTTGTAAACACTCTTACCCCTTTCTCTCATTTTCTCCCGCTCACCACTCCCACTCCCCCATCCTCTCCCAAGTTGTAAAGTTCATTTTCAACACAGTTCTAGTGTATCACTGTTGCATTAGTTCATACTTGTCCTGCTGATTCTGTGACTCTCTTTTCCTTTCATGGATCAGATATGCTTATATACAAGACAAAGAGTACAGAAAACTAAAACAAAAAGAAAAATAGAAACAACTGCACACAGGATATAATAAGAATCTCTTGTTTCCAATTCTTGGAGTTCATTTTGATATGCTTCATTATATGTGGTCCTATGTACCTGGCGATTGGCCTATTGTGATCTCCTGCTAAGAATATCATATACATATTTTAGTTATTACAAATGAGGGAAGCCATGAAACTTCTATTTCTTTGGGCCTGGCTTGCTTTGCTTAATATAGTTTTTCAGGTAAGGCTACTTTTCAAAGTACCTATCTAAAAACGCAATAGAAAAAATATTCCATGAAATAAACCATTGATATCTGACTAAAGGTGACTATACATGAAAGGTACAGTTTCATGAAAAAAATAAACCATACCCCTACACACCACACACACACACACACACACACACACACACACACACACACACACACACACACACGCACACACACACCCCACTTAAGAAGTTCGAAGGACGGAGTTCCGGAAAGATGGTGGAGGAGAAGCTGGAGGCTAAACAAGCTCTCACATGGAAAGCAGTTTCAGAGTTCCAGTGAACAGTCCTAAGCCAGAGAATCATACCAAGTGTGCCATCACAGGACAGAGAGTCAGGCCAGAGAGGGAAAATCCAGGCAAGGAGACAGATCTGAACACTTGCCAGTGCGGCGGCAGCCGTAGCCACCATACCTGCAACACAGAGAGTCCGGAACGAAGGAGCCAGACGCGGCAGACAAGCAGGTTCTACTAAACACCAGCAAGAACCAACAAGGAGCAAACATCTTCATCCTGCAGTTCGCAGACCAGAGACGACCCAGGAACCAAGACTGGCGTGAGTAGAAGCCTGACATCCTCACTCCTTCTCAGGGAGCAAAGGAAGGAAGGCCATCTCTCCCCCTCCCACTAAAAGAGATCTCCATCTTTGATACTGACAAAGGCCCAGCTGAGCTGCTAGCTCCAACTCAGGCCTTAGAAGAAAACTAGAGTCATTTAGCAAGTCACAGGAACCTAACCCGACCTGCCAGGCTCAGCTCCATCCAGGGAAAAGTCACCCAGCCCTGGCCACCAGCCCCAGGAGTGGCTTTCTTCACTGGGTAAACAGAGCC